CCCCAAAACCCCAAAACCCCAAAACCCCAAAACCCCAAATTTGACTAATCCAGATGCAATATTGTCAATGAACCTTAAATCCTAATTTACCTCACTTTTCGATCCACTAAAAGGGTATCTGGCATAATTTATAAGAAATCATTGAGAGAGAAATCATAACAGTTTGGGATAATTTTAGATTAATGTAGTTATTCCACTAAGTTAGTCAGAAAGGCTTCTTAAAATTTAAAACTTTTCAGACCCGAATAGCTTACTTAACTCAAAGATATTCAAATGGTATTGAGCAGATATGCTTGCACACTCTAGAATCTATGAAAGTAGATAACTGAAGTTTCCTCCCGTTCATTTTAAAGGTTCTACAATTTTATTGGTTAGGACCTGTTATCTATATCAATTCTTCCAGAGATGTTCTGACTCCTCAAGAAACTACTTGTTCAGGGGAAATGTAATGCCCTCGGTTAAGTTTAGTGGATGGTCAATCTTCTTTGCTCTGAACAATTAGCATTGCAACTAAATTTGCTGATATTATAGATTTCTTGTTTTGGTGTATTTCATAAAAGAAGAAGTAAATAAACCATAAAACGACCAATAAATTAGAGTTTGCCATAGAATATTGCTGGATTTAAAGCCATCTCTATAGCTGTTTTAATGAAAATAAAGAGGATGAGGATTAAAAGGCTTTTATGGCTTTATACTTCTTGGATATCTAATAGAATGTTCTCAATAATTGTTTTGAGTTGCAACCAGTTAGCTCATACCTTAAATATTTATTTCATGCTATCAATCTCATCCAGAAAGATTTTTGACAATATAACCTTCTTTCTAAAGTTTAACCGATAAAAGAGGTATTGAGGTTGCACTACAATTGTGTACTTAGCCATTATACAAATTTCTTAACAAATACTCTTGCAGTGACATATTGAATGAGAATCCTGGTATTTGCAACGTCTAACATTAAATAGTTTAACGGTTATGATTCGAGCTGAGGAACAACTTGAAATGGCAGTGCTATATGTGAGAACTGGGCCAGCTCTTTCTCATTTGGCTTCACAGACTAAGTACCTGATAAACCTATTTTATTTTATTTAAATTCAGGAGCATCTATTACCTCTGGTCAATTATTTTCTATATTCAATGTCTCAGAATACACTGAAGAAGCTAACAGTTTTTTCACAAAATCTCAGAATCTAAAAATGCCTTAAACCCATCTTTCAAGAATATAGTTGGACGAAGAAGTGTTTTTCTTAATATTTAGGAATCTCCAGCTTCAATCTATATACTTTTGACTACAATGAATGATCTTGGCAGTGTGACAATATTTTAAGCCTTTGATTATTTTTGAGAGTAGTAACTTAAGAATCAGTTTACCCATCTCCTTTCGATAAAAATGTTAGTATTTAGTGATTTCCATTTCCTTTTCAAGCCAATGTCTTATCATAATCTGCTGGAATAAAACTTTAAAGCTATCACTACTCCTAAACATTGTCCAAATCTAACCATCATGAGGTCGAACAGCATCACAAAAGAATTATTTGGTTAAAAATTGTTCCTCAGAACTGTCTGCCTCTAGCCATAAGGGCAAAATTGAGCTTGATGGATTGAAGAATTCTACTTCCCTCATCGTTTTCCAATATAAGGGGTTTAAGAACAAACTTTGTTTTATTGGAAGGTAAACTTAAGGATACTTATTAATGCATTCAAAATCAAAATTCCTTCTTCTTGCTCTTCAGAAGAAGCTATTGCAAAGCTCATTACAAAAAAGCTTAGTTTCACAGTACAAGTATCATTGAGCTCTTTAAAATTTCAATATATGGCATGCTGGCTTCCATACTGACATGAAAATCGTAGACTAAGATATTCGAGTATCCTTGTTGATGGTGATGAATTTGCAAAAAAGCAGCTTCACTAAATTCTTGCTTCTTCTCTTTACTAAGCATCTTGGCTGAATTTTATGAGCTACTTTGTATGAATACCCCAATATTTTCTTCATCAAGTATCCCACTTCAGAAATAGATCGCCTTCTGTGTTGATTGTCATCTTCAAGGGAATCCTGACTGGACCTCTTTTTATTTGTAAATAAATTCTTTAAAGGAATCTCCATTGTTTTCATATATGATCTCCAGTTATTCTAAATCAAAGGAGAGTGGATAAATCTCCCTTTATGGAATCTCTTCAGTTATGCATACTACTTTTATTTTTATTAAATCTTTACTTTGGGAATTCTGAACGCTAATCTGATCTTCCTTCATTGGCTATTTTTGAGAATAATAAACCATTATCTAGTTTTTAAAGCTATCTGGGATATCTCTAATATATCTGTCATATTTATAATAGCTTGATCCTGTATCTATTGTTATTGAACCTTTAGAATTCAAATGTTTCTTTATAACTCTTAACGGTTTTTCATTTTGTGGTCTATCAGCATTTCTTTTAAGATCTGATTTTGTATCTTTGATTCTTCCTGCAACCATCAACGAGTCCTCAAGTAAGTAAGCCTCCACTTGATAGTTCTTCAGCTAATGCTAATCTATTGATCTAAGTCTTCCTTCTATCCAGCTTGAAAGTCTGAATTTTCAAGAGCTTCAAAAATGTATTCTAAACAAGAATTATTACTTGAACCATGGTGAATCTAGTAGGCATCAAAGTTCCAAAAATGCAATAATCTAAATTTTATTAGACTTTATTATTTGTCATTCTGGCTTTCATTGCGGATAATCTCTGGGAACAAAACTTGCCTAACTGGATTTCTTGCAGTGAGTCTTTTAGTGCAGATTTTTGAATTACCTCAAGAATGCATTCATCATTTCCGGGGTCAAAACTTTTGCTTCAAAATCCACTTAATTTTAAAGTTTTTATATGAAATTTGGCTTCTTTGTCGAATAGAGCATTATCTGTGAGAGCAAAATCGGTAGCTTTGATAGAGACTACTTCTCAAGTTGAACAGGCTTTTAATAAGTTTGTGAAATCATCTCATAAAAACACCCAAACCTCTAAATGAACTTCTTTGATATTCATTGACTCAACTGCTGATGTTAAAGCTGGCAAAATAGGACTGATTTTGCAATTTGGCCACACATATTCCAGTCATCAATTCAGTTTGAGTGTTTCAATATTTGAAAGTGATGGATAATTTAAAACCTCTGCCACATTTTCAATACTTTTGTTACAATTTGTTATTATCAGTGACTCGAGGTTCTTGACTTCAGTATTGGATTTTAGAATCTCATCCATTAATTTAACTTCTTTATCGATGCTCAGATCGATCTTTAGTTCTTCAAGTTTCTTTGATTGAAGGTCACACTCCATCACTCTTTCATACAGTTTCTCAAGATCCTCTTTGTTGGCAAATTCATCCAAGTATGCTTGAGTAGTCTCCAAACTATTTTGGTTAGTTTGAGATTTTTCAGCATCTGCGAATACTTCATCCTGCTTTGTTTCTTGATCTAGATCAAGTTTATGTGCTACATTAAAGTTGACCAGGAAACTGCAATACTCCTGGAACACTTCGTTTTCTTTTATCTCTGTGCTGACTCCAAGAATTTCTTCAAGAAGAGCTTTGTATTCCAGAAATCTGTCTTGCTTGAATGACTCATCAAATTTGGTTTGAATGGAAGCAATTTTAGATTTTTGTGTGTGAATGAACTCTTCCACGTCTCTGATATGCATTCCAATGTTTAAGTTGGTCTGGTCTTCATCCATGGTCCCAAACACCCTTTCCAAGTGAGTGATGTTAGCTTGAACTCTGTCTGGATCCACAATCTCATCGACTTGTCATTTAGTGTGAAGCTTGTCTTTGCAGCTATAACACAGAATGGCTTTGTGATCCTGGCAGAACACTTGTCTTTGAGCAGTACACAGTTTGGTGAATCAAGGTTTCATCTAGAAGATCTTTAGGAGTGCCGGTCATGCATTTATCCTGAGCTTGTTAATTTTAAGTCATAAATCAAAAGAAAGCAATAGAACAAGCTCGTAAGCTTCAATGTTTATTATTTCAGTTCGTGAGCATTGCAATCCTTAAGTTTATTACACCCAAAATGCTTATTCCTCTCTTCTGTTTCAAGACTTTATATTTTCAATTCTATTGAACAAGTTTGGGGTTTTGGGGTTTTGGGGTTTTGGGG